AAACTCAGGGGGCCTTCATTTAGGAGCGACAAATAACAGATCAGATCCTAATTGCAAATGAGTGTGTGGAAGAAATGAAAAGGTCTAGGCAAAGAGGCTTTATTTGAAAATTGGATCTTGAAAAGGCCTTATGACTTGGTAGACTGGGAGTTTTTACTAGAGGTGATGAGAAACTGTGGATTTGGGGACAAGTGGTGTAGTTGGATACCTAGGTGTATCAATACCTGTCACTACTCCATTTTGGTAAATGGTGTGGTGAGAGACTTTTTTCCAGTTTGCAGGGGTGTCAGGCAAGGGGATCCACTCTGACCCTTCCTTTTTACATTAGTAGCCGATGTGATTAGTAGGATCATTACTAAAGCTGATAGTGAAGATGCCATTAGGGGTTGGGGAGTAGGGAGACACCAAATCCCAGTCACCCACCTTCAGTTTGCAGATGACCTAATGATCTTTTGTGAAGGCTTTAGTGAGAAGGTAGCAAACCTAAAGGAGCTGATCAAAGGATTTGAAAGGATTTCTAATCTGAAAATAAATCTGGAAAAGAGTTGCATAACGGGTATAAACTTGGAGGATGGGGAGTTCGAGGTTATTGCGGAATGTCTTGAGTGTTCCATCTCTGCCTAGCCTATGTCATACTTTGGGCTTCCATTAGGGGCAAACCCTAGGGAGAGCAGATTTTGGACCCTAGTGCTAGAAAAGTTTGAGAAGAGACTAGCCTCATGGAAGAAGAATTATATCTCTTTGGGAGAGAGAATTAATTTAATAAGAGCTACATTGGCTACCTTACCTACTTACTTTTTGTTTGTCTTTAGGATACCAGCTAGGGAAGCTAGGAAGTTGGAGAAATTGATGAGAGACTTCTTGTGGGAGCCAAGACAAGAAAAAAAGGATCATTTGGTTAGTTAGGAAATTGTTTGTAGAAGTAAAGAAGAGGGGGGTTTGGGACTTGGGAGGGTGATTGAAAAAAATCATGCTCTGTTAGGGAAATGGTTGTGGCGATGGCCATTGGAAAGTGAGAAGTTGTGGCATGATGTGGTGGGAAGCATTCATGGGAGATCATAGAATGGATGGGATGTTGGTGTATCAAGGCAGACTAACCTGGCAGCACCTTGGAAGGCCATTCACAACACCCTTCCTCAATTTCTCAATTTTGTCAGGTATGAAGTTTGTTCTGGCAACGTTGTTCGCTTTTGGAAGGATATCTAGTTAGAAGATACCCCCCTAAAGGACCTTTTCCCTTTGCTATTTTATGTTTCCTTGTATAAAAAAGAGGTGATTTCAAAATTTGTCTCACCTTTGGGAACACCCTTGGCTCCTAATTGGGATTTTGGGTTTTGTAGGGGACTAAGGGATGATGAAATTGAATCTCTCTGACTTGCTATATTGCCTTAATCAGGTTTGCTTGGATCCCTCCAAGCTCAATAAAAGGATGTGGACTCCTAGACCCAAAGGAACCTTTACTTGTGCTTCTTACTTCAAATCCATCTCTCAGCATTCTGGTCAACAACCTTTTCCGTCAAAGGAAATTTGGTGTAGGCCCATTCCCCCAAAGATTATGGCGTTTTGTGGGGAAGTATTCTATGGGAAAGTAAACACTCTAGATAACCTACAAAAGAGAAGACCCTTCCTCTGTATTTCTCCCAATTGGTGTATCCTCTGTAGAGCTCACAAAGAGGATTGCTACCATCTACTAATATCTTGTCCTTTTTCAGCAAACCTTTGGGCTTGGCTACATTCGTTGTTTGGGAGTAATTGGAGTATACTAGTAGAAGTTCACATGATCTTTAACCATTCTACTTTCTCTTGGCCTACAAAAAGAGGGAGAATTATGTGGAGATGTGCTCACGCTACCCTGATTTGAACTCTTTGGGAAGAAAGGGATGCTAGAATCTTTCAAGACAAGGAAAGGAGCAGTCAGGAATTGAAAGACTGTGTGTTGCATAGGGCAATACTTTGGCTGAAGACTTTGGAAATCTTTCATCAATTCTCCTTTAATGACCTTTGAAGTTGCTGCTGTTAGCAGAACTTCTGGGTACAAAACAAACAGAAAACATAGAGGTAGAAGAGAGAAGAAGAGAAGAAGAGAAGAGGAGAAAGGAAAGGAAAAAAGAGAGCAAAGGAAAAGCAAGAGAGTGATGGGCGAAAATACTTATTGCCGCCCCAGGCAGTCTTATTTATATGTTCAATATAACATTAGGTAAAAGGACAAAAATGCCCTGCTACCTACAATAGTACAAGTAAGCAAGCATAAATGCAAGAAGTAAGAAATAAAACTGAACTTATGGGACCACATAAAACATAGAAAGTCAACATATTCTGGAGAAGAAAAGGAAGAAAGAAAAGAAAATTCAGAAAATATAGGGGCTGAACCCCACTTTTGTCCTAGGAAAAGAAGAAAAGAAAGCCTATGTAAGACTTTTTATATTTTAATTTCTGATTTATTTATCTTCAAAAGATAAAGAAAACAAAAGAGTGGAAGAAGAAGATGAAGAAAGTGTTCATTGGAAAAAAATTTAAGTTCCTTGGATTAGGTTTTGAAGTTCTCAAGGGTTCAAGATACCATACACCAACATGTTTGTTGGTTGAACCTATCAAATAAGAAAATAATAAAAAAAAATTGGTGTATAAAACTACAAAATGAATAATTTAGTTTAATAATATCTATTTATTTTTATTATCTCAATAATTAAGAATATACAAAATAATTCACAGCACCATGTACAGAATGGCTTGGTGTTCAAGCAAGGCAACCCTCAATTGCTGCCTTCTCACCTAGGTAGTGCTGAGATCTACAATTTGGAGTAGCTTAAGTGGGCTAAAATTGTTAACTGATATATTATCAATAACTGGAATTCATTAGATTAAAAGAATTTAGTTACAACGCTCCAAAGAGAGATAAACAGGCTTAAGTCTCTCCAGGAAGATAACAAAAAAGAAAAAGCTACAGAACAGCCCAAAATATTTGATCCCTTCCCACCCCCTGCTTTGCCAAAGCATCAGCAAATGCATTTGCTGTTCTCTTGGCCCACTGAAACTTGATTTCCAGTCCTCTAGTTAGCCACTTAATCACCCTCCTCTCATTAGCATATTTCCAAGGTCCACTACCTTCTTGTAACCAACTTAAGACCAGCTTTGAGTCCCCTTCAATGACTAACTTTTGTATATTCAGTTCCTTATAATTCCTTATACCCTCCAGTACTGCATAGACCTTAGCTTTGAGAGAGTCTCCAAACCCAATGGAACCTGAATACAAAGCGAGCACCTTCCCATCCTCATCTCTGAAAACCCCTCCTACACCTGATGGACCAGGATTTCCCTCACTACTTCCATTACAGTTTAGCTTTATAAGTCCACTTCCTGATGGTGACCACACAGGACAAGCTATAGAGCGAGCAGGAGCAGAATTTGCCACCTCCAGCCAGCTATTCAGCAACATATCTGTAGAAATATCAACAAACAGGTCCAAGGATTTCAGCCAATGTACCACCCTCACTGTTACTACTTCAATAAGGCATTCTTCTTTCAACTTTAGAGAAAATTCTGGTGTTCCTTTCCTCCCAAAGAGTCCAGCAAACAGAAGCCCTCACACATCTCCACATTATCCTTCCCCTTTTGTTTGGCCAAACAAAGAATGAGGGGCTAAACAAGCTTTGAATGTTTGGCAGTGGGGTCCACTTGCAACCAAAAGAGGCAAGAAACCTCTCAAAGAACCATTCAACATAAAAGCTTAAGCTGTTAGGTGAGGTCCTTGAATAAGTTGATAGGCTAACACGCCCCCTCACACGAAAGCCCATTGGGCTTGAAGCGTGAACAAGCACAGGCCCACCCAACCTTGTGCTGAAACTTATTTAATTATAATGGGGATAACGAGGATTGAACACTAGACCACTTGGTCAAAATAGTTCTGATACCATATCAAATAACCATTCAACTTAAAAGCTTAAGCTGTTAGGTGAGGCCCTTGAATAAGTTGATATTCTCTAACAAACCATTCCCAAAGCTTTCACCATTAGCCCTGCAAAGAATGCACCAATTCGGAGACAAGCACCAAAAGGCCTTTTTCTTTGGAGTAGTATTACATCTTTCAAGGAAGGCTTCCCAAAAAAAGGGTCCAATCCTTGGAGGAATCGGAGCCGTTTTGACTGGATGAACAAGGGGTTAAGATTTGTCATTAATTTTGCAGACCTAAAATCTGAGTGGAGTTCATACTGAAAAAGAACAAGGGAGATTTTAACTTTAAAGAGAAGGCAAAACGGTGATGCACTAAATTTATTAGAATAGGTCAATCTGACAACACAATTAGACTGGACTGACCCAACCCAACTACTTCTTAATAAGGAACACCTATGATAGCATCCAGTCAAGATTGGATTGTGTTGCATTTAGGGAATGAAAGTAAGTATTAAAGTCTAATTATAGCACAAAACCCTTCAAATTCATTGTGATTGCTTTTGCATTTTTTCTAATCACTTTGCTAATTTTCATTGGTATCTGTTTCAGAGAAAATTACTTTGCTGCTACTTTTTCTTCTTGTGAACTCCAAAAGCTTCAGGGATTTCAATTCCCGCCTCCCTGGGGCAACCACTAGCACTTCTCTGCCCTTGTCTGTCTTATAATCATATTGGAAAGAATTTTGCAGGTTGATTTGTAGTTGGCCCAACTTTCAAGCCATCAATTATCACAATCGCTCAACTGTGTAAAGGCATCACTTTTGAGCATGAACTAATTTTTGGGTTACATTAAGCATTTGTATGCCAGCTAATTGTTCCTGCAATGTGTGCCTTTTAGCATTATCTTACTTTCAATTCAATCATTTAAGGCAATGTCAGCAATCAAATTCTAAGGGATTCTTGAGCATTGGCCAAGCAAGAGGATCAATAGGAGATTTAATAGAAGCTACCAACGGTGTTTTGGTGATTCATATAAGTTCAGTTAGAACTATATATTATTCCAGAAAGGATATGCAAAAGAAATAAACCTAGTTGAAAATGGTAAAATACCTGGCAGCACATTGAAACATTGCAAATGATCAATACATGGCCTTTGATATGCATTTCCACTGTAACATTAGCAGATACATTAGCAAGATCAATTACAATTTGGAATGGGAATGTATTTTCCCAGTTTCCCTCTTGAATGGCCAACATACTCACCCAACAAAAACCCTTTCCAAAGGAAAATCCAACCAGTATGGTAGCCCAAGCATTCCAAAATTAGACAATTGGAGTTCGGAGACAACCCCAGATTCTCTATCAAGTTTTAAAACCCTGTGACCAACTTCACAAACACAACCATAGATCCTTAGATGAATATTGTGTACAAACTACAAGAAATGCATAAAATAAGAAGCACAAACTAATGCATCTACCGAAAGCTTAGGCACCTGCATCGCAAAATATGATATAATGCTCAAAGGTTGCTATTGATGACATCAAACTAGCAAATGAAAGACACTCCATTGAAGTATTAACACTCTGCTCCAACCAATTAGCACCTATCTCTTTCAGAATGGATTCTTTCTCCATGATTGTCTGTCCACAGATCTCCATAATGTTTGAAAATCCTTTAGAAAATTCACAAGTCAATATTTGACAATGGCAGTCATAAATAAAATTTATAAGAATGCCTAGGAACCAAATGCAAACCTTTGGCAATTTCTTTGATCTCCCCAGATGCTAAATTCATAACCCATAATGTTTCAAATCTGTGATCAAATCAAACAATGAGAGAATGCAGATCAAAAGGGGAAAAAAAAAAGAAAAAATGTGGGAGGAAATAGTTACAAACTAGTGCATGGACACCCAAAAGAGATAGACCTATCCATGTATACAATAATATATACCGCTTATGCATTAATAGCTGAAATGCCGACTCTAATATGTACTGGGGGTAACCAATGCCGAAATGGTTAACCAAATGTATAAATAAAGGGTATAAGGTAGCAGGGGCAAACTGGGTCTGGCAGGGTGCCAGGGCAAGAATCTTTGTACATGATGTAAACATTCCTTTCTCTATTTAATAAGTTACTGTTACCAATCACAAAAATTCTGGTTATGCATGCTTATATATTCACCAATGTTATCAATCCATTATTAACTCACACAGTTGCACCAGTAAAATTGTCGCCAGCAAGGACTCCAGGTCCATTTAGCCACTGATCAAATTTCTTACAAAATTGTTGACTGAGTCAACAACCTGGAAACCCAGATGGTCAAACCATTGAACTGTTAGACCCAATCAGAAGGACATTGGTGAGACAATAAATCTCTTTTATATGTATTTTTTGTATTGTTAGTCATTTCCTTCATATTTTGTTCCATCACTCGTCATCATCTAAGCCTTGTCCCAACTATATGGGTTTGGCTACATGAATCCTGCTTCGCCATTCTATTCTGTTCAGTGCCACATCAATTGTTAAATCCTGAGTGTTTAAATCATTTCTTATTACCTCCACTCAAGTCCTTTTCAGTCTGCCCCCAGCTCTTTTTAGACCCTCAATTTGTAACAGATAACTTCTAATAGGTGCTTTTTGTTCCATCATTAATAACAATAAATCTTATTTATGAAACTAATTTTTGTTAAATATGATGAATATATAATATTAGAGAAACGGCCAATTTTTTCTGCAAGTTTTTTTTTTGCATTTTTATCTATTTTACATATTTAATATTTTTAGTATATATTATCTAATGGTTGACCCATATAGTTGAACCGCCACCCTACCATCTAGAGAGAAAAGACAGTAATGTTTCCAGGTCACTTTATTAAAACACTGATTTTTTTATAGGAAATGGTAACTTTCATTGATGATTTGAAAAAAAAATTACAGATTTACCACCCACAGGATGGATGGAACATCAGAACACAGCCTTACAAACAAGCCTAAAACAAAGCCTCCCTAGTAACTCCTTGCTTAGCTAAAGTGTCAGCCATTCCATTTGCTGACTTTCTTACCCATTTAAATTGCACCTTGCTGACCTTCTTACCAATTTCAAACATTGATTTTCACCATAGTTGAAAACTAGAGGTATGCATGATACGCCAATAATCCAAACAGAAATGAACAAAAAATATATTAACCATGACTTAACATAATATGTTACACAAATCTTTGATTCTAGAAATGATTTCCAAGTACCAAATTTATTACATTGATAAAAGATATTCAAAATCAAGCTCATCCTTGAAACTATCATATATTTAGTTCAAACCAAATTCATGAAGTAATGATAAGAGAGAAAACAAGCCTAATTTTATAAAGAATGAAGAGGCATGGATATATAACCTGCGGTTAACAATCAACAGATCATTGTCTCTTGATTTCATCAAATGCCAAGGAAAAATTAATGACTCCAAACCCAATTCCTGAGACTTCTCTGCAGCTTCTCTTCCCATCCCCAGCTTGTCCAAGATCCAGCCCCACATGCCAAAAATTTTCCTACTGGTGCCAATTGTTGGGAAGAATGTCTCTACTGTTCTTGTGTCAAAATTTGCCTTCCTGATTGCATGGTTCTTTCCAGCAAGAAACCAACACAAGTATGGTCATATATTGCAGAATATATTACTATAAGATAAAATAACATATAAAGAAACCATATAAAAGAACTCACTGATAAGTAATTTATTAATGAAGTTCAGTTTTGTTAGTGCTTCTTCCCTTGGGAAAGAGACCAAAGCAGGCCTAGAAGAAGAGGGCTTATGGAAATTGCCAACTAATAAAGGGTCATTTAGTCTTTATCTCTTTCATTAATGAGTTTAATGTCATTTTTTCTTGTCCTGGTTCCCAAAGGAAATCTCTTATTAATTTCTCCACCTTCTTTACTTTCTCTAGGTGGTATCCTAAAGACAAACAGAAAATAAGCAGGTAGGTTCACCAAAGTAGCTCTTATCAAGGTGATCATACCACCCAAGGAAATGTAGTTCTTCGACAAGGCTAGTTTCTTCTCAAACTTTTCTATCACTGGAGTCCAAAAACTACTCTCCCTAGGGTTTGGCCCTCATGGAAGCCCTAACTAGGACATAGGCCAAAAAGAGATAGAACATTCAAGGCACTCTGCATTTATCAAAAAATTAAATTCAAGGCATTCTGCAATAGCCTTGACCTCCCTATCTTCCAAATTGGTACCTGCTATTCAACTCTTTTAACATATTTATTTTCAGATTGGAAATTCTTTCAAATCCTCTAATCAACTCTTTTAAGTTTGCTACCTTCACACTAGCACCCCCATAGCAAAAAAATCATCAAGTCATCTGCAAACTTAAGATGGCTGACTGGGGTCTGACTTCTACCTATCTTCGAACCCCTTATAATATCTTCCCTAGCGGCTTTAATGAAGATTCTACTGAGAACATCAGCTACTAGGGTAAAGAGGAAAGGTGGAAGTAGGTGTACTTGTTTTATTCCTTTGAGAGTTTTTTTTTTTTTTTGATGAATTTCCTTTGAGAGTTTTTAGGTGTACTTGTTTTGTTTTGTTCACATACTTGATCCTCACCATACTAAATTTGATCCTATAGCCAAGAAGTGTGTCTTCCTTGGGCATGCTCCAAACCAAAAAGGGTATTATTCTTATGATTCGGTGTCAGTATGTTACCATGGATGTTACCTTCTTTGAGTCCATTCCTTTTTCTTTGGTGTTGATTCTCAAGGGGAGTGTTTTGGGGATGAGTGTCTGATTGTCAAGCTCCTATGTGTCCTGTTACTACTTCATCTTCTCCGTTGTCAGCTCTAGAGGCTTCAATTCTTGTTCCCTTGCCTGCTCTACTGTGTGCTGCTCCACATTTTTCAGACATCAATGTAGGAGGGTTGATTCTAATGCTCCTCATGCACCAACAGGAGAACCCATGCTCCTCATGCTCCATTGTCAACTCAGGTATGCCTCCTACTATTGATACTTTTGTTCCTAGTGTTGATCCTATCTGTATTGATGTTGATGATCTTTCCATTGCACTTTTCAAGGGGAAGAGGAAGTGTACTACCTCTACTGCTCATTGTATCTCACATTATCTCTCATATGGTCTGCTTTCTCCTTCATACTGTACCTTCCTATCTTCTCTTGGTTTTGTATCTATACACAAGAATGTTAGTGAAGCTCTCTCCAAACCTGAAGGAAGCTATACAAGAGGAAATGAAAGTGTTAATTGATAATCATCCTTGGGAGATAGTTGATTTTCCTGTTGATAAGGAGACCGCTGGCTGCAGATGGGTTTTCAAAATAAAATACAAGGCTGATGACAGTATAGAGAGGCACAAGGCAAGGTTGGTTGCAAAGGGGTATACACAGAGTGGATTATCTAGAAACTTTTTCCCCTGTGGAAAAGATGGCATCAGTTCAAGTTCTCTCTCTAGCTACTACCTACTCTTGGCTTCTATTTCAACTTTATGTGAAGAATGCTTTCCTAAATGAAGAGATGTAGGAAGAGGTATATATGGACCTTCCGACCAAACTCTATAGTGGTGTTGATGCAAACAAAGTGTGTAAGCTGAATAAGTCTTTGTATAGATTGAAGTAGTCATTTAGAGCATGGTCTGATAGATTCCAAGGGGCCTTGATCCGTTTTGGATATACATAAACACTATTAAATGATACCTTGTTTTTGAAAAGGAGAGGGACTTTGGTGTAGTTTTGATAGTGTATGTGGATGACATTGTTGTAACAGGTAGTAATCTAAAGGAGATAGATGTGCTCAAGAAGTCCTTGCAACAAGAATTTGAAATCTAGGACTTCGAGAAGCAAAGATACTTCCTAAGAATAGAAGTATGTTTCCAATCTATTATAGGAGACAAGAAAACTTGGGGTGAAACCTGTAACAAATACACCCATTGATCAGAATCATAGAATTAGTGTTAGTGAAGGATGTAGGGAGATATCAGAGATTAGTGGGTCAATTGTTATATCTCTGCATGCATGCCCCATGGATTACTCATACGGAATCTGTTGACAGGATCCTTGCCTACTTAAAAAAACATCCTGGTCAAGGTGTTTATTTGCTAATCATGAACATGTGAAACTGGAGGTTTATACAGATGCAGATTAGGTAGAATGCTTGGATGACAAGAGATCTACATCAAGCTTCTACACATTTGTTGGAGAAAATTTGGTTTCATGGAAAAGTAAGAAATAGACTGTGGTGGCTAGATCTAGTGCTGAAGCAAAATACAAATCCATGGCTCAGGTGTTTCAAAACTTCTCTGGCCTAGATCCTTATTAAATGAGATTGGGATTGATGGAAAGCAACCCATGATGTTGTATTGTGACAACCAAGCTACTTTTAATATTGCACACTATCCGGTTAAATATGATAGGACCAAACACATTGAGGTTGACAAACACTTTATTAGGGAGAGGGTGCCCTCAAGTGAAGTGTGTTTTCCTTATGTCACACCAAAGTTGTAGTTAGCAGATGTCATCACTAAAGCAATTGCAAAGAGCAAGTTGGAACATGATCTACATAAGTTGGGAATGATTGACATCTTTTCCCAACTTGAGGGTGAGCATTGACAGTGCAACTAGTGGACTGACAGCTTTAGGGGCCCAGTTCTCTTTTATGTTTTTATTTCTTTAATGTTCTTTTAGTTGGTGGGCTTAAGCCCACTTGTTCATTTATTTTCTAATTAGAATTAGCTTGTGGACCCTTTTAGTCCAAACGCCCTATTAAGGGTCATTTAGTCATTTGCATTATAGAATTAAGTATAAATATAATTGAAGGAAGCAGCTAAAGAACTTTTTGCCTCTCCTTATTGTTCACTCATTCTTTCTCTCTTTTTTCTTCTTCTTCTTCATAAAACCTTCATTCTTTTAATTTCCCAACAACCTTTATTTGGTTTACCAATTTATGCTAGTCTATTTACCTATTTTGAACCACTTTCTTTTCCAAGACCCACCACATTATCTTTCTAGGAACTCTATCATACGCCTTTTCTAGATCAATGAACACCATATGTAGATCTTTCTTCCTCTCTCTGAACTTTTCTATCAATCAACTCAAAAGAAATATAGCTTCCATGGTTGATCTCCCTAGCATAAAACCAAATTGGTTGTCTGATACACTTGTTTCAAGTCATAATCTTTTTTTTTTCAATTATTCTCTACCAAGGTTTCATAGTGCAGTTCATAAGTTTAATCCCCCGATAGTTATTGCAACTTCGTATATCACCGTTGTTCTTAAATATAGGCATCATGCTGTTGTTTCTCCAATCATCAGACATCTTCATTCCTTTTCACTATCTTATTAAATAGCTTCGTTAGCCATAACAAGTGTACCACTCCCATACCTTTCCATACTTCTATTAGAATCCCATCATGTCCCATCATGTCCTAAAGCCTTTCCCTTCATCTTATTTAGTGCCTCTTTTACTCCAATAGGTCTTACCCTACGGAGGTACGTATTATTTTTAACACTACTAGTATTGCTAGATTCTCCTCCATTAGCACCCTCTCTCCCTTTTGCCCATTTAATAACTTTTCAAAATGGTTTTTGCAACATTGTTTGATTTCCTCATCTTTTACCATGATTCTTTGATCTTTATCTTTAACGCGCCTAACATGATTTAAATCTCTATCTTTCCTTTCTCTCAGCATTGCTAGTTTATACATTCTTCTTTCTCCCTCTTTAGTACCTAATTTATGGTAAAGCTCATCATAAGCCATACATTTAACTTCCTTCACTTTCTTTTTAACTTCCTTATGATTTAATATTTTTTCCAGTTTTCTACATTTGTAACTTTTTATCATTCCTTGTAGCATGTTGATTTTAATCTAATTATATTTGGAACCTCTTTATTCTACCACCAAGTTTCTTTAGTACCTTGCTACTTCCCCTTATATTCTCCTAAGACATCCTTTGCTATTTTCTTTATATTGTTTGCAATTTCAAGCCAAATATCATTAATCTTTCCATCTAAATTCCAACTATCTTTTATTATCAATCTATTTCTAAATTGAGATAGCTTTTCTCCTTTCAGGTTTTCCCACATAATTCTTGTATACCTATTTCTCTTCCATTTCCTAATGTATACATCTACCACCACTAGTCTATGTTGTTTTGTTAAGCTTTCTCCCGAAATAACTATGTAATTTTTACACATCACATGTTTGGTTCTCTTCATTAGGAAAAAATCTACTTGAATTATGTTTTACCCACTTTTAAATGTTATATCAGAAACTACTGGAAAATCCAATATTAGACCTCCTGATTCATTCCTCTCCTCTCCCCAAACCCAAATATTCCATGCACCATGTCATATCCTACACTTCTTTTCCCTACATGTCCATTTAAGTCTCCTACAAAAACCTTTTCTTCATTTGGAATTTCTTAGATTAATCCTTCCAAATTTTCCCAAAATTATCTTTTAATGTTTTCTTCTAGACCCACTTGAGGTGCATAAGCACTAATTACATTAATGATTTCCTTGCCTAAAACAAACTTAATTAAAATAATTCTATCCCCAAAACTTTTAACATTTATAATTTCATTTTGTAAATCCTTATCTACTATTATTGCTACACCATTTCTATTATTTACCTCTCCCACATACAATAATTTGTAACCATCAATTTTTTTAGCTTTTTTACCCTTCCATTTAGGGCATGTTCGTTTTTTGGATTTTGAGAGGGGGGGAAAGTTTATTTTCCCTACCTAGGTAAGTGATACCCATGTTCTTTTTTCAGATATAATGTGGAGTCCATGGAAAATTTATTTTCCCTACCTGGGTAAGTGATACCCATCTCCCAAGTGGGTAAGTAACTTTCACACCTGGGGGGAAGTTGCCAACACTTCGATGGGACAGAATTACCCCTTTTAATAATGGCTTTTTATGGATAAAATGGTCATTGTCTTATTTACTTGGGAAATAAAAGAACATGGGTAAATGCACTTACCTAGGTAAATATTTCCAAGGAAACACTTACTTGGGTAAGTGCATTTACTCACGTAAGTCACGGTTCTTAGACTGGCTTCTTTACCTACTCTCATCCAAAAGGATGCGGGAACCCTTGCCTATTTGACACCACAACCGGGCATTGTCATGGCGGGTCACATACGGAGACCATCCTACCAAGTATCCCACAACTGCAACTCCCGATTATGGTGTCAAATAGGCAAGGGTTCCACATCCTTCTAAACGAGAGCAGGTAAAGTAGCTAGTCCAAGAAATATGACTTTGTTTAGCCACTTGGAATGTAGGAACAACAGGAAAAACTATGGAATAAGTTGCTATGTCTGATGATTTGGCTCTTTTTGGATTTTCACTCCTAAATGAAAAACTTGGGAACAGACATCCGCAATCGTATTGAACATTGAGATTTGAGACCACTACGACACCACCAAGCATGTTAGCTCTAGTTGGGTTGATGGTGATGTCTTTGGCATTATTTCACTCGGGAGTGGATACTAACTTCTATGAAAATAATATTTAGTTTAATTTTACTTCACTTTATGTTCTTTTCTTATATATTTAGAACAATAAGACTTCCAAAATCTAATATTCAAGAAGTTGACTTTATGATAGTTTAATTGCTTTAGTGCACTCCATTAGAGCTTCTTTTTCAATTTCCAATTCTGAAATACCGTTCTAGAAAAGTTGCCAAATATCTATCTCCTTTATATTTTCCTTTTTATAATGAATAACAAAATATGTTGAAGCATAGAAGAGGAAAACATGGAGAGAGGGTAATCCTGAAAGGCCCTGTACAAACTGCATGGATATCCAAAAAGTGTCCTTCTGTACATATGGAGATGGAGATGAAGCTGTAACATACTGATAGAATCATAAGGCCTCAAGTGTCAAATTTGGAGACAGGTTTCAAGTATCACAAGTTACATAATGGAACATAAATGCTTGTGGATATAATACTTCCAATTTATTGTTCTCTTTGGGAATTTGGACCAATAACCTTTTGGAAACAGCCTTTTTGTGTATTTGCAGGGGTAAGGCTGTGTACATTTGTCCTTCCCCAGACCCAGCATTGATGGGAGGCTCATGAACTAGGCTTTTTGTTATCTTTTATTCCCTTCTTTGTCTGGTAAAGGTCTAGCAGGATTTGCCAAATGATAGCTTAGCTGCCAAAATCCCCTAACTTTTACAAGGTATGCTAGTCATTCAGCATGGTATAATAGTTTCTGGATAGATCACCATTCTTTAGATACATCAAGTGATGGCCAAATCAAAGAAATTGCTAAGTTACCTACCTCTGAGTCCACAAAATACAGGCAATCCTCAGCTTGGTAATAAAAAGAAGATGCTGGACGGAATAACTTGGCAATTTCAAATTCACCATCCTCAAAACCTGGGGAAGAACCAATCTAACAGATAAACCAGGTAAGTCTGAACTCAGTCATTTCAGTGTATGCTAGTATTACCAAAAAAAAATGTACTTTTTATCGCTAACAATTCTAACAAAAAATGTAACAGAGAAAACTCAAGAAAGACCAGCACGGCTATGCTTTAAACAAGCATCGATATGGTAAAAGTAATGAATAAAATACATTAACACTATGAGAGAAATAGATGCATAAGCTGAAAACCAAAATAAAATGAATATTAAAATAATGGATCCTGAAAGTGGTATTACTTAGGGCATCTGGATAATGGTTTCAATATTTCTCCATTTCTGGAGAAATTAGATGCAATCTGTCATTCAGAGATCTTAAACCATGTTAGAACTTAGAATTTACAAGCCTAACTGACCAATTCTAAGACAGTGACTCTAGGACTTAAAAGCAAGAGGACAATGAGCCATTTCTTGAATTGAAAAAAACAACTTCGGAGCATCTAATAGAGAACAAAACTGTAAAACTTTAGACCTGCATAAATGATAAAGGAGATCTTCATACTTACACAATCTAAAATCATTCCATTTCCATCAGAAACGATAATTCGATGATGATTGGTATCAGAAAGGAACAAGCGGTTCCTAGTCTCATCTACAGAAATGCAGCCTGATATCAAAAGAAAATGACACTTTCACAAAGTTCATATAATATTTGTATAATTCTATTAAAACCTCTTGCATGCAATTAACATAATATAATGGTCTGCAAAAGCATCAATCACAGGGTTGATACCAAAATTTTAAAATGCAATGCATAGGCATGATGCAAGGTGTTCCACTACCTAGAGGGGTGAGTCATAGTTTAGAATGCAAGAAGTGTAACTCGCCTGAGCACACGGAGGTGCAATCTTCTTCCTCTTAGGCGTGCATGAGGCACATGAGGGGTGAACAAAGAATTTTGGAATGGCTTTTGGGCAATGCTAGATTTAGGTTTGAAGTTTGATGGTATGAATTGATTTACTTGCTTGTCTTTGTGATGTACTGTTCTATCTTTTTGTTTTTGGTGATCTCTCATCACCATTATTCTGGATGTAATTTTCCTATTTAATTAATGAATTTTCTTTCTTATTTATTATCCTAACAATGAGATGTACAAGTGATGTACACCTCATGCAAAAGGCATTTGAGGCATAAGCCTCAAAGGCATCTAATGTAGGCGCATTTGGCTGGCCAGTACGGGGCTGACATGTGTCGGCCAGTGGGCACCAGAAGAGGCCCATCGTGGGGTGCGCAGGCTCATTCTGTGCGGACCAGGCAGGCCTAGTCGAAGGGCACCGCGTGGATCCGCCAGATTATCGCACGTAGCCCTCGTACGGCTCGCATCTGGGCTATTCGAGCCTAACTACTCCCGGGCAGCTCTGGCTATAAATACAAGGCACCTCCCACAAGATAAATCTCTCTAGAACCTTTGAGACTCTTGGTATTCTTCTTACCGAGGACTTGGTGCTCAATAGTGACCTCGTCTGGGTGCTTCTACACCAGACTTCCTACTTGCCTCGTGCGGACACTAACTTGATCATCGGAGTCCTTGCCTCGGGTCTTCACCCGAGGCCTTTGACACTTCCTTGCAGAGCAAACTCTTCGGGCTTCTTCGGATCCCTCGTACGCACAAACGAGTAGCTTTACTTCGACACCACCTCTTCCAAGACCATCCACCTCGGCCACTGGTCCTCGGCCTCTTCCATATCCAAGAAGGTGATCTGCCTCGACCTCCAGCCTCGGCCTCAGCACACCCCACCGATCCTCAACAAAGCCCTCAGCTTCAGCTCCCTCGCAAAGTACCTGGAGCCCTGAAGCCCTCGATTCAGCCCCGGATCTCAGGAGTGAAATTACTGTGTTGCCCTCGGCCAATCTGAGCGGCAACAGCATCCATATTGCAAGTGTATGCCTCAGGGTGCTTTGAGTGTGCCTCGCTTGGAAAGCTAGACAGGTTAGGATAGGGAGTTGTAACCTTTGTTCTTCAGAGTAAGTCCACAACCTAGATTTTTCAGTTTAACTCTTCGTAGAAATTCCATAAGTAAACATAAAATAATTCCTCCACTGTCACCTTTTATTATAAGCCTTAAACCAGCAAAACATTATAAAAAAAAAAAAGCCTTACACTAGCAACCAATAATGCACCGTGACATGCTTAAAGTAACTACCATAAGTGTACCAAAATGAAAGCATATATAGTACTACTTCAAATAATTATAGATAAGCACAAAAAATGCTTAAAGCAACTAACCTATCAACAAAATGCTTAAACCAACTACCATGAACGTACATGGTTAATAACCAATTTTACCCTTTTACTATTAGAGTGCTCCATTGAACATTAAAAAGATACAACAATAATGCACCATGACATGCTTAAAGTAACTACCATAAATGTACCAAAATGAAAGCATATATAGTACTATAAATAATTATAGATAAGCACAAAAAATTCTTAAAGAAACTAACCTATCAAAAAAATGCTTAAACCAACTACCATGAATGTACATGGTTAATGACTAATTTTACCCTTTCACTATTAGAGTGCTCCATTGAACATTGAAAAGAGACAATTTCACCAACCTTTTTGTATATTCAGTTATTGAGGGAAGATCATCGCAAATACAGAGGCATTGAGTCATACAGAACAGGGCTTCCTCTATATGAAGTTATGAAGCTTAATTTCAATGGTACTTTATAAGGTCATTTACTTAGACAACCCTTATAGTTTTGCCTAGTTACTAAAACACCCCCTACAATTTGTGTATTACTAAGGGGTTTGACTATGATGCTGGAAAGACATGATACGGAAAAACATATAACCAATCAACAGACATGATAAAAGTGGGAACCAATCAAGTTGGTTTTCATCAAAATTCAAGGGAGGTTTTGCTTGGTCAAAGCCTTTCCGGCATTATAGATTTTCTCATTATTAAGATACCCCCCATATTTTGCATTTGCTTTACTTCATTGTTCACTAGCGGCTGTCCATGTTTCCATCTGGGAGTGCTCAAGTGACCTCATACAATGACTGGAAATGTGTAAGGGCATTTTCTCATGATTTTTTATTCTGAACCCCCATCACTTGGGGTGGTTTGGGAAGAAAGGAATGGATGAGCCTTCAATGGGAAAAGTAGATCTTTGGAGGAGATTTTGGACAGCATCAAAATAAAGGTTGCACACTGGRTAAAAACCATAGAAAGCTTTCAAGTTTTTTCTGTTACTGATATCTTTAGAGCTTGGACAGAGGTGGTACAATCATCAAGAGAAAAAGAAAAGACAAGGCTGGATTGGAAACCTCTTGAAGGAAATAAAGTGAAGCTGAACTTTGATGGCAGCTTCTTTGGAAATCCGGGCATGGCTAGAGTAGCTGGTGTGATCAGGAATTCTGAAAGTAGAATACAGGCTCTCTATTCTTTACCCATAGGACTGGTGAACTCATTGAAAGCTGAACTTTTGGCCTTGCTTCAAGGTCTTCGATTAGCAAAACCACTGGGATACAGACAGGTGGAGGTGGAAGGGGATTCAAAGCTAATTTTTCATGGGCCAGTGATAGCAGCCAGACTCTGTGGACTCTTAGACATGCTTTTAGGAAACTCGAAAGTATTGATAAGGACATAAATGTTGAATTTAAATGGGTGAGAAAGACTGCAAATGGGTTAGCAGATTCCCTTGCTAAGCAAGGAGTAATGAGTCAGCATCTGTTTTGGGCTGCTATGTAATACTGAATGTAGTACTTTGGGAGGCAGTTTTCCTCTTTGTATTAACTTTTACTTTTATTCTTATAATAAAGTTTCTCTTTGGTAATCAAAAAGATAAAATACCCCTATCACTTCTCTCTCTCTGAACGTTGTTCCCAAACTTCTCAAACCACACAAATCACCCAGCTTTCATGACTCCACCTGTTTCTTTCAAAGATCACTGCTTTGTTTCATCACCAGCTCTGCAAGGTGAGCTACAGATCTGTTTCTATGAACTAGCCCTGGAAAATAGAAGACAGTTGAAATAAACGACCCTTAACTGTCATTGAATTAATCTCCTGGAACAGTTGAAAACTACTTCTACTTCTCTGTTCTCCAGAATAAAAAACGTACAAAACCTGGATTTCAACAATGGCTCTTCCCATTGTGGAATATACAAAAGAATGGTTTTCCATTTGACGCTGTGAGCGGCTGTCTAACTCTTGCACCCTTGTTACAGCATCCACATGGGAGCAAGAGTTATCATTTTTTACTGTCCTGAAGATCTGTGCAAGAAACATCGCAGCCACACCTGAGAGGAACCATTTCACCAAATAACCTTTTTTTGGCCTCAAATCGTAATTTTTAGCATTTTTACAAAATTTAAAAATTTATTAAAAAGTGTAAGGATAGGGTGGGTTAAGCAGAGTGCTAATTCTATAGCTGATGCCTTTGCCAAGTGTCCAAGCAGGGGTGGTGAGAGGTTCTTTGTTTTGGGCACAACTATAAGGGAGAGGGGGCATTTTGGGGAAAGATGAGAGGTTTTTATGACTCATGAACTTTGATCTTTACTTTTATCTGTTGTACTTCCAAATTTTGCTCTTATTAATAAAATTTTGAGGTTAATCATCAATATATATATATGTTAAACAAAAAATAATATTTATATAAACAAATATTACATGTAAAAATAGTTAAATATTATTTTATTGATAAAATACATGTTTATATATATATATATATATATATATGTGTGTGTGTGTGTGTGTGTGTGTGTGTGTATATTACATATGTTGACATGGCACGGTCTGACCCATTCAACCTAGACAGTGGAACAGGTGACCCACAACCTGGAGGCAAAAATTGTTCAACCTCCAGATCAGTTTTTAAAACATTGCCAAAAGGTGGTGTGGTGGTATCTCAACCATTAGGTTGAGACTCTAGACTACCATGTGGGTGTGTACTGGGACACACATTGATATTATCCAGATGAGTTAATCCACCAAAGGACTAATGTTATTGTCAATTACATGAATCACATAGATACAAAGTCTTTTCTGTCTTTGGGCCTAAGTAGTTCCAAGATTGTAGTTGATAGACACCTTCTAAATCACCTGGTTCCTTATTGACATGAAATATCCTAAGGGTAAACCTGGGCTTCTCACCAATATTTTAAAACGCGGAGGCATGACGCGAGGCGTTCCACTACCTAGAGGCATGAGGTGTAGTTCAGAACGTAAGAGGCGTAAGCCTCCCAAACACAAGATGTAAGCCTCCTTAAGAGGAGGGGGGGTGAGGAGGAAGAAGAAGCAGAAGAATCTCATTTTTCTTTATTTTTAATAAAAATCTTTTATATTAATAATGAAGATGCATAGCACTAGTTAAAAGGGAGGGTCTTATCGAAGCGGAGGTAAGTGAGGCGGAGCGGTGTGTACTAGGATATCTTAGCAATTAGGGTGACACTCTGGACTGCCAAGTGGGTGTGTACACACTGATATGATCCAGATGAGTTAATCCATTGAAGGACTAACATTACTATCAATTACATGAATCATTTAGATACAAAGTCTTTTCTGTACTTGGACCTAAGTAGTTGCAAGATTGTAGGGTTGAGATCAATCACTTTGATATGCCATAGGTAAGGCTACTAAAGGTTGTAGTTGATAGATCCAATATGTTTGGTAATTGAGAGCAATTCTGTGATTTTGAGAATGTCCAACGAGGGATCTGCACCCTTAGACAAGAGAGTATTACCGTCAAGAAGTTGAGTTGAATCAAGACTCTGGCCAGGAATCCTACTTGRACTACGACTCTGGCAAAAGAATCCAATAAGATAAAGACTCCCATATAAGTCTCAAGGTAACATTGGGATGAATATTGAAAGACTTAAAGTTGAACTAAGACTCCCAGAGAGGTCCTAGTTGCATTAGGACTCTAGTATTCTAGCTCTAGAGGAGTTTTGAGTGAATATGAAAAGTAAGTTAGGTGGCTTGACATCTAGGTGATATTAGGCTAGCATCTACTGTGAAGGAGTTCCAAAGCAAGAAAGTAAGTTAGGTGGCTTCCTAGAAACAGTAGGACTCTTGGTGAAATCCCATTAAATGGTGATTAGTCCAAATTTAGATGCAAAAGAACAGAATTGTCATTTCACTTTGCATGTACGTAATAATTTCTAATATTTTACAAGTATTCTATTATTATTAAATTTGCATATCATATATTCTGTTTTAGTCCTACACTCCTTATTTTAAAACCTCTTGTTTCTAGGTATTTATCCATAAACTTAAGTTTGCATTTAATCTTTCATTAATTTTAGCAATTGAAACAATGTCATCAGCACACAATTTAACAAATAATGAATATAAAACACAATGACCTAGAAGAGGCAATTTGTTAATACTAAGTTATCATGTCTTTTTGTTCTTTTTCCCCCTATTAAGTATTTCAGTAATGTTTTGAACCTCTAGGTTACATCAATGTCCAACTTAGAAGTGAATGAACAAAAAATATAGTTACATATAGAAAGAAAAAAAAGTATTCAATAGAATAAGAAGGAATACAAGTAATTGATAAGAAGTTGTTGTTAAATAGCAAGTACATAGTATAGCCTAGCAGTAAAACTACACCTGGAAAGTATAAAAGTAAGTTTTGGAGAAATGAACAAATGTATGGTTCCTTAATGAACTCAGACTGCTTTACTCCAGTGCCTTGAAACTTCTGGACTGTCAAAGAATCCCCACTATGTAACAAGTTTAATTCCTCAATATCTGCAGATAGATACCAAACAGAGAATCAAAATTACAAGATAACAATGAAATTTGCAACATTCATAAATTAAAAAAATAAATAGTGACTAATCATGGAATAAAAAACACAAAATGGCACCCACATGATAAAAAAATAAAAGAACTCAAATAACAATATACCAAACTTCTTCAATCATTTAGCTCAGCACATTTAAGGTGCCCAATCAACATTAGATTTCAGAGGTTTTTAGTGCCACAACTGCTACAGGTGAGACATTGCATAAGCAATCAGAATTCCATTATAAACATGGATGAATTAGTTTCTTGTCACTTCATTGCACAGCATCAAAACATTGATCTGCAATGACCATAATGGAGTTAAACATATACAGAAGCCTCCTAATCAACTCTATACTATATCATCTCCCTTAGAAAAGGCAATGTAGTCCCCTTATCCAGAGTAGTAGTTGTTTTTCAAGCCAGTGGGGCCCATTATCCAGCAAATGGTGCCCATAGCTGCCTCTAAACGGATGAAGGATACATTTCACATCTAAGTTGCACTTGAAGAAACTCAAGTGCAAACTACACTTGAATCCACCGGTTGAGTGGTCCCCCCTGTTAGACAGTCTATGCCCTCTTAGCTCCAATCAGATTGATGTACACATACATTTATTGTAAATGAATAAAAGTGCATTATTGTTTCATGTTGATATTGGTATGTTTCTGTGAAATTACCCCTTAAATTGGACACTTATGAGACTCGTATTAGTTTAGAATGTTCTTAGCCGTTGGATAGACTTGGGGAGTTTATCCTGCCAAAGCTAACACTGATGTGCGGCCAAAGAAGTTGGGCCAGCTTGTCTCAGCTGCTAAGGTTAGACCCAAAGCACATGTAGTGTGTGTTTGGTTGAAACATTGAACCCGGACCATTTTCCAGTTATGCCCTAGACCTTGGAGATTGATGGGCAAAATTGGAAAGTTACACATAACCCCTAAACTTGATTATGGTACTGCACTAGGTGTTGGATTGAGTTGTCTTTGATATGCCAATCAGTGAGATCCATTGAGGGTCAAAACCTAAGTATGTTAGGGCAGTCTAAGAATTCACTTGAGTGGGTGATCATAGTGATAGGATTGGCCCCTTTGTCGGACAAAGTGAATGATAGGGCTTACACTCTCTCGAATGGAAACCTAAACCGACAGTAGATTTCAACTGTGCTTGAGATTTAGTTTTGCAAAATATATTTATATGATATATATCACGTTTAAGTTTATCAATTTTGTTTCTGATTTTTGCTAGGACCAAAAACACTAAAAGATACGTGGACAGATTAGTCAAAGAAGCCTTGATTAAAGTCAGCCTACCACCCTTTGATAGGTAATTCTTCTTCCATGTGGCCAGTCTTTTTTCACACTTTTCTATCACCAGATCCCAGAAGCTTTCACTTCTAGGGTTTCATCCCAGGGCATCCCCAAATAAAGAATAGGCCAATTTTCAACTTTGCACCCTAGAGCTTCCTTGAAGTTTTCCAACAAAGTTTTCCCACTAAACTGCTTTCTGAGAAATTCACTTTAAGTCCTGGCACCATTTCAAAGTATGTTAGAATCCGCTTCAGATTTTTTATTATCTCCAAATCAACATCCAAGAAAAGGAGAATATCATCAGCAAAAAGTAGATGGGAGAATTGAATTGCTTCTCTGCCTACTTCAAAGCCCTTCAGCAAATTTAAACGTTTTGCTCTCTCAAAGAAACAGCTTAACACATCAACAACTAGGGTGAATAATAAGTGGGAGAGTGGACATCCTTGTCCAAGGCCCCGTCTAGCCTTAAAATAGCCTTTAGGCTCTCTATTCACCAATACCGAAAACCAGGCAGAACAAATACAACCTTTTATCCACCGCACCCATCTAGGGCCAAAACCTTTTACTTGCAGAATCTCTAGGAGGCAATTCCAATTAACTTTGTCCTATGCCTTTTCTAAGTCAATTTTCACTACAACTCCCGAGAGCCGAGATGTTTTTTTTTTTTGTCTTCTTTCTTCCAAGTATTCGTCGGCCACTAGAATACTGTCCACTATTTGTCTCCCTTTCACAAATGCAAATTGATTTTTGGAAATTAGATCCCCCAAGACCTCTTTCAGCCTATTCGCCATACCTTGGCCAAAATTTTGTATATGCTTCCAACCAAACTTATGGGACAAAACTCTTTTACTTCCAAGATGCCTTCTTTTTTTGGAATTAGAGCTATAAAAGTTGAGTTGTTTCCCTTGTTTATTATGGYTGAATAGTAGAAATCATTAAACACCTCCATTAAGTCCAATTTGATTGTGTCCCAGCCAGGTTGAAAGAAGAACATGTGGAAGCCATCTGGCCCAGGAGCACGATCCCCATCCATACTATCAATAGCCACCTTAATCTCTTGTTCCTCAAAATCCTTCTCTAACCAGGTCTTCTTCTCCTCTGATAAGGTGTGGCCATCCAAAGAAGTCAGGAAGTGTTTTCTTGGAGAAACCATAAAAAAACTTCTTTGAAATGCTTCGAAATGTTCTCTGCAATTTCCATTTGATCGTCAACATCTCTATGTCCAACCTTCAATTTGGAAATGTAATTTTTCCTGTGTCTCCCTAAGGCATAGCTGTGGAAAAATTTTGAGTTGTCGTCCCCTACATTCAACCATTTAATTTTGGATCTTTGTCTCCAAAAAATTTCTTCTCTCCTAATTATCTTTTCCCAATCAGTCTTTAGTGCCTCTCTTTTCCTGAAATCTTCAATGTCTAGAGTCCCATTCTACTCCTTTAAGTGTAGATCACTTAAAGTCATAATTAACTTGTTTTATCTTCTGTCCACTTTTTAAATTCCTCTCTTCCCCAAATCTTCAACTTCCTTTTCAAATATTTCAATTTCTGCAAGAAGCGAAACCCAGCCCAACCTTCCACCCCACATTCCTCCCACCAAAAAGTCACCTTTTGATGAGAATCCTTGTGATAAATCCACACCTTCTCGACTCTAAAAGGGGTTTTCCCTTTTTTCAAAACCTCATTTTGCAAGATGACCGGCCAATGGTCTAATGTGCATCAAGAGCTTAAGGCCTGAATAAAGTCAAGGAAATGTTCCTCCTATTCGTTTGTTATCAAAAATCTGTCTAATCTGCTGCAAATGGCTCTTTCTTGCAAGTTAGATCATCTGAATTTCCAAATGTAGAGAGGAAGATCTCGGAGATTGTGCCTAGCAATGAACTTTGAGAAATCCTTCATACTTCTGGTCAACCTTCTGTTGTTTGAGTTCTCCCTGCAAAACCTTGTGGTGTTTAAATCTCCCCCAATACACCAAGAAAATTCTTCAAACTAATGAATTGAGTCTAGCTCATCCCACACTGTAGAAATTTCAGTAGGAGAGTTGGACCCATAAACTCCTGTTAGGATCCAATTGAAACCATCTGAAACACATCTGAAAAGAATTGATAGTGTAATCCCCTTTGTCAATTTCCAGGCCTGTCACAGTCTCTTCTCTCCACATGATGATGATACCTCCTGCAATCCCAGTAGTTGGCAAGACTGCCCATTTTCTCCCTCTGATTCCCCAGATAGCTTTAATGCGCTTTCTTTCTATCCACTACTTCCCTTTTTGTTTCCTGAAGGATTACAATGTCCGGATTTTTCCTGATTAAGGTGTCTTTGACCATGCTTCTTTTTAACTACCCTCCCAGTCCCCTAACATTCCAGTTCAAGATCTTCATTTGTTCAGCCCCGTGGTCTTGCCCTTACCGTGTCTACTGTGTCACCCTGACCAAGCCTACCCACACAGAAAGTTTCGGTGAAAGAGGACTTGTATTTGGGGAGTTCTGTTCTCCTCTCTAGGGCGGCAGTTTCTGGAAAAGTGCACACATCAGGTTGGTGAATCCCATCTGCTGTTCTCTCAATTTGTTTTTTTTTTCTTCTTGGACCCCAGATTTGATCCCGCCCTAGGGCTTTCCTACTTCTTAATTGTTTTTTTGAAGTGCTAAATCAGTTCTGGGGTGATTCCATCCCTCTCCTCAGTCTGACAGTCCTGAGACACTACTGAGTTGGACTGTCAACACTAGAAATCTGTTCTGCCTTTTTTCATTGGAGGATTTCAAGTCCTCTATGGGAAGAAATATTCCTGTGRACTGTACTAGTGAAGTTGGGTGATTTTACATATCCTCTGAATCGATTTTCCCTTGTTTGAGCCTTCTCTTCAAATATTCTTCTACTTCTTTCTTTCCAAAGTTCCTAACAGACAAAAAAAAATGCAGCTCCAGTCAATCTTTGCCTTGAAATTCCCTTTACCTTTGATTACTTGGAGAAAATCTCCTCCATTGGATTAGGAGACCACCTGCCAGACATGAAGAGCCTAAAGAATAAGCCCCAAATGAACATAGAGAAAAGGCACTCAACAAGCAAATGATAGACATTCTCCTCTGCATTCTCACAAAGATAGCATCTACTAGCAAGGTGAAAACCTCTATTTTGAAGATGGTTTAATGTCAAAATGATATTCAACGCCACTAACCAAGCAAAATCTTCCACCCTTGGGGGGACATGGTTTCCCTAGATGCCTTTCGGTTCTAAACTTTCTCCATGATACAACATTACCACCCACCAAGGTATAATCGAGGTTTAAAGTATTGGGATACATATCCTCTCCTCGGGGCCCTAGCCTATTTATAGAATCGGGGAACCAGGCTATGCACATGGGCATGTATATACTAGAACCTTCTCTACCTTAACCAACATGCAGGAGAAAAATCCTGTCTTTTTCTCCCCAGTAGACATGTGTCCTGTGTACCACAATGCTGTTAGACCAGTGATTTCAAAGGTGAGCTTAGGTGCACAGGCGAGGCGCATTCGAGGCACAGCACTTTCAAAAGGTGCGTACTTGGTGTGCCGTAGGCATGCGCCTAGTGCACCTTGCGCTTCAGCCCAAGCACGCACCCTTTGAAAATTTCTGCATTTTTTCTGTTTTTTTATGCTTAGCAGCTACCCGTATTTGCCAATGTTGCTCCTTCATTCATCCTAATAAAAGATATTTTTAAAAGACAAAGTTATAAAACCTTATTGTAATAGGGATTAAGAAGTTAAGACCCTGATATGGACTTGTTTGGTCTTGCCTCGAGGGGCTTGGTACAAAGGCGGCTCGTAGAATCAGAAACATATAATTTTTAGCATCACATTAGCTATTTGAAATAATGGCTCAGTTTGGAAAGAGTACAAAAACAAAAATGTACAATACAAATACATACAAAATAATACAAAACACAAGGTTTTGCACTCTACATATTTGTATTTGTACTCTTTCCAAACTGAGCCAATGCAATTGGGAAAAAAAAAGAGATTAAGAGTCTACATGCTTGAATATTTTTGATATGTTATGATTGATTTTATTTTTAAATTTTCATTTTAAATATGTTTTACATGTTATGTTTATGTATTTTAATTTATATAATAGGTTTTTACATTTATTTTAAAATTTAAGTTATATTTTAATTAATAGTGTTTATATTTTGCACTTTTTGAATTTTTTTAGCATTTTTTGAATTTTTTTGGAATTTTTTTGCATTTTGGCACCTTGCTTCAAAAAGGCGCACGCCTTGCATTGTGCCTTACGCCTTGGGTGCAAAATGGCCCTTGCGCTTTTAAAACAGTGTTAGACCACATTCTTGGGGGCCACTTAGAAGATAACGTGTGTCCACACGGTCATCCGGTACAACCAATCGTGGTTTCTCAAAGGCAGTCATGTGTCTCCCCCCAAGTGCACTCCCATAGGCTGAGGTCTTAATTCAAGCCTCGTATGAGACTGGCTGATCACAAGGTCAAGACTATTTATCAATTCTAGCTGGATCTCACTCACTAGTGAGGCCTTGTTGTGTTTGCAAGACCCTCAACCCATGAGATCCTTTCTCACTGGATCTCACTTGGTCTTGCAAGATCATGTTTTTCCCCTATTGCCATGACCCCACGAGCCCCACCAGATCCAGCCAAGCTGTCTTTCCATGATGTCAAGGTTCCCATGAGGCACTTACTTTATTCAGTGATATCATCCTCACCTCATGCTCCCCATCAATGCCTCACTCTCAAATCCTTAGATATATATCCACTCTTTCACACCTCTCCACAATTTCCAACAAGACTTTATGATTTCTTAGGTCTTCTACCCCTATATACTCAAATAAAATAAGTGTCACCACAAATTGCAGATGACAATCTTATTTTCTCTTGCCACCTTAAGGTAAGTTTCAGCCCTTCAAATTTAGGCTGCAAGGTAAGTGAAGGACATCAAACAATTTTTTCTCCAATTTTTAGTTGGGCCTAGATAGCTCAAAAATAACTTTGAATATTATCCATTTTGTGTCCAACATCAATTCATCTATTGTTTAAAACCTTATGCTAGAAAAGTTCAACTCATTCCAAAAAGTAAAACCAAAAAAGAAAACAAAAATAAATCATGCTAGTACCACTGCTGAAATTACAGAATCAACATACCTTTGATAATTGTTCCTACATCTGCACTCTTTTCATGACAAATTAAAGGGCCCTTGAAGGCTTTAAATAGAAGGTAGCATGCCCCATTTTTTATCTAGACACATCAAAACATTTAGTTACATGAGAACAAAGATTAATCTTATATTAACAAACTCCAATAATACAAAAAAATTACAGTTAAATCCTAAGCAGATTAATATATCCATATCACTTCCTCTGATGTTAGATCGAAGGCATTAATGGAGATCAGTGGCAAGAATTTTTCTTCTGCACATGTTGTTTTCCCTTTTGATGTCTATTCACTTCTTGTCATGGACCACATGTTAGCTGTCTTGCAAGCTAACATTGTGGAGTATCTTATTGGATTTCTCCCACCAGACCCCAAGCACAAGACATGATCGTCTTAATAAATTGCTTTCTACTCATGAATAAATAGTCATAATTAGTTCTATAATACAAGCAAATGAATATACAGTTGCATCTTACAACAAAAACAACCCTGACTCCTATCTACATTTTTTTTAATTAACTGGCTCCTTTTTGTATTATTAAGGGGAGGAATTGAATCTATCAGAAGGGTTTTGGCCTTATGGGTCTGAGATTCACATCTCTCCATGCTGAGATCAGTCTTCCGGATGGAACATTAGTCTGTATTTATACATTAGTTATAAAAACAATCCAATCTGAAACTAATCCTCAGAGAACAGGTGCTAGTGGGTCTAGTTCCAACCCAAATAACTTGTGCAGCAGTCCTGCAAGGCTGCAACAAAACCATCTTCTCCAGGTTTGTTTGATTTTAATTTTACGAATGCTAATGAACCTTCTTTGGTTGTAACAGATACTTTCCAAACCCAACCGATGCCTGTCACACTCCAGCAAGATGTTGTAAGGGTAGTGGAGGAGAATCCTGAAGGAAGAAATGAAGGGACCAATTATAGGGGAACTGGGTGAAAGAATTTGGGAATTGGTCTGTGAATCCTTTGAGGATCTTACAAGAAAGGAGATAACAGATGGAAATATTGAGGAAGATAAGGAATTACAAGAGGGGAGCCAGAGGAAAGAGAAAGAAGAAGATGAGGGGATGGGGTTTGGGAAGAAACCAATGGATGAAGTGGCAGGAGAGCTGGGCCTAAAACTTAAAGAGGTAGAAAATGTGAAAGTCTATGCCAAAAAGAAATGGAAAAAAGGAGAAGGATTGGCAAAGAAAGAGGAAGCTGACAGAGGTTTAAAGATTAAAATCAGATGTTGCCACATATTTAGAGTTTAGTGCCAGGGGGAGAGAAGGAAAGGTGCCAAGTAAGGGCTGACAGATTAGGGGTGGCTTTTAGAAGTGTTGCCATGAAGTTAATAAGTTGGAATGCTAGGAAAAGAAGGGGCGATAAAAGATTTGATCAGAAAAGAAAATCCGAACATAGTGTTGCTTCATGAAAGAAAGATTGGGATARGAGGTGGGTGAGAAGTGTATAGAGTTCTACAGGATTAGGTTGGTCTTTTTCACCTTTGTGGGGGGCATCAGGGGGTATAGTGACAATGTGGAGACAAGAGGTAGTGGAGCCACTAGAAGAACTAATAGGTCATTTCACTGTCTAAATTTGAGAGGGTGGGAGAAGAGTTTACTTGGGTAATGACGAATGTCTTACTGATATTGTCACTATAGATATGGAGAAAGAGGTGAAATGTGGGAAGAGCTCACTGATAATTAGGGGTATGTGGGAGGGTTCATGGTGCTTAGGTGGTGATTTTAACGTGATTAGATTTACAAATGAAACCAATAATCCCACTCAAGTGATCAAACTAGTATGAGGAAGTTCAATGAGTTTATTAATGAGTATGAGCTGTCAGAATTACCCCTCCAGCAGACTGTCTACACTTGGTCCAATCTAAAATCCCCCCCAAGGTTTTCTAAGTTGGATAGGTTCATCTTTAATTCTGAGTGGAGAAACCACTGGATAGGGTTGTCGGCTAGAGACTTGCCAAGAGTCACCTCAGACCATTGGCTGATCAACATTGGATCTAAGGACTTTGTGAGTGGGTCCAAACCTTTTAGATTTGAAAATATGTGGCAGGTTAGAGAATGGTGGAATGAAGAAGTGGTGGGAGTTCATTGAAAGGGAGTCAAATTCCAATAGGAAAGTCCAAAGATCAAAAGAAAAAATTAAAACAGTGGAATAGGGAGCATTTTGGAGAGTGGAGGAAAGGAAATTAAGCATTATATCCCAAATTGAATATATGGATGAGAAAGGACAGGGTTTGCTATCGGAAGAAGAAAGGAACTCAAGGTGGTCCCTAAAAAAGGAGTTGGAAGAGGTAGTCCTTAGAAAAGAGATGTGTTGGAGACAAAAATCAAGACATCAATGGATCAGAGAGGGGGATGGCAATACTGAGTTCTTCCATGCAGTTGGTAATGGAAGGAGGAGAAAGAACCTTGTGGAGAAGCTAGGGGTCAATGGTGAAATGGTGCAAAATCAAGATGAGATTGCCAATGTCTTTATGAGTCACTTTAAGGCAGTCTACAAGCAGCAGGTGGATGTAGGGTTTAGAGTGGAAGGGTTAGAGTGGCCAAGATTGAACCTTGATCTAGCAAGTTGGCTGGAAAGGAACTTTGATTTGGAAGAGATAAGGGGGGTTGTGTTCTCTATGGACAGGTCTAAGGCACTAGGACTAGACGGTTTCACTATGACCTTCTATCAAGATTGTTGGGACATTGTCAAATCAGATTTGTGGACAGTTTTTGAGGAGTTTGCGGAAGGACATTTTATCAGCCCAGGGATCAACTCCACCATTGAGGCCTTGATACCCAAAAAGGGATATGCAATCCAACCGAGAGATTTTAGAACCAATAGCCTAGCGACCAATATTTATAAGATTTTGGCTAAAGTTTTATCCCTGAGGCTGCAACAAGCTCTACCCAATCTAATTAGCCAACACAAAGGGGATTCATTCAAGGAAGACAAATCACAGATCATATTTTAGTAGCAAATGAATGTGTGGAGGACTTCAAGAGAAGGGGAGAGAAAAGTTTTGTGTGTAAATTGGATTTGGAAAAAGCTTATGATATGGTAGATCGGCCCTTCTTGTTGGATTCTTTGAGAAGTTACAGGTTTGGAGAGAGGTGGTGTGCTTGGATTGAAGGTTGCCTGAAAACCTACCATTATTTGATTATAGTTAATGGAGTTGTTAGGGATTTCTTTCCAGCCTCTAGAGGCTTGAGACAAGGGGATCCTCTCTCTCTCCTTTCCTCTTTACTTTGATAGCGGATGTGTTTAGTAGGCTTATTTCGAGAGCTGATAGGCTGGGCTTGATCAGAGGTTGGAGGGTAGGTAGAGAGGGTACAATGGTAACACATGCATTTTGCGGATGACACAATCATCTTCTATGAGATTGGAGATCCATAAAGACAAGAAAGTTTAAACGAGTGATAAAGCTGTTTGAATGTGTTGCGAAGTTGAAGATCAATTTTGAAAAGAGTTGTGTGGTGGAGTTGAATTTAGAGCAAGAGGAGTTGAGCCAAGTAACAAAGTCCTTAGGTTGCCTTACCTCTAGCTAGCCTTTGACATATTTGGGAATGCCATTAGGAGATAATCCAAGGGAAGGTAGATTTTGGAATCCGATTGTAGAAAAGTGCACAACGAAGGAGGTCTTTTGTAGTGTGGATGAGAAATTGGGATACCACTGTGGCAGGGACCAATCCACACCACAATCTATAGCTGTTCTGAACTGTGGACAGACTATGTGGACTGGACCAGTCCACACCCACAATGGTGTTCTGTGGGTGTGGTGTGGACTCCACACCACTGGGTATGTGCTAGAATTAACATTAAAATTAACATTCAAAATTATTATTTTATTGATAAAAACATTAAAAATTATTATTTTAAAATTTAAAAATTAATATTTAAAAAATTAAGCATCGCTAAGCTTGTGCTTGCAATGCCCAGCAGTGGAGGAGCAGCGGTGGAGGAGCGGCAGTGGAGAACTTCCAAGGGTAAAAAAGAAAGAAAAGTATGTAGGGTAGATGTACTGTATCAAAATAGAGTGAAAATATTGTGGACCAACCACAGCCACGAGATATATGCGTTACCAAGATTTTGGGTTGTGGACGAGGCCGGTCCACGATATATTGTGGATCATTCCCATCCACAATCAACCAAACATCGTGGCCATCCCGTGGTGTGGACCGAAACAGGCCATCCACGAGATGACCATGGTTTCAAACACCACCGAAGTTGGCATTTGGAAAAGAAACTACATCTCCCTTGGAGGTCGTATCACGTTAATAAAGGCTGCTTTAGCAAATCTTCCAGTTTACTTTCTCTTGGTCTTTAGAATGCCCCAAGGAAGGTTGTAAAGGTAGAGAAAATTATGAGGGATTTCTTGTGGGAGCCAAAGGAAGGAAGGAAGGAAGGATCATGTGGTTAGGTGGGAACTAGTATACAGAAGTAAGGAGCAAGGGGTTTGGTTTTAGATAATTTAAGAAGAACACAAGTTTGTTGGATAAATGGCTATGGAGGTGGCCTCTGGATAGGGAAAGAGTCTAGCACAAAGTCGTAAAAAGTGTTCATGGTGTGGCAGGTAATGGTTAGGATGCTGGTGCATCTCGGCAGGCTACACTCAACTCACCTTGGAAGGCTATCCATAGTATTCTTCCTCTTTTCTTGAACCTAATCAGGTATGACACTTGTACTAGAGATAAGGTTTTGTTTTGGAAGGACGTTCGGGTTGGTAACTCTTCCCTTAAGGACTTTTCCCCTTCTTTGTATTCCCTTGTGTATTAAAAATGAGCCAATTCAGAGGTTTACATCCTTCTCTGTTTCCTTTGGTCTAAACTAGAATTTGGGCTTTAGGAGAGATTTAAGGGATTTTGAGCTTGACCAGGTTGCCTTGCACCTTAAAACTTGTAGAGAACATTGATGTGGGCCCCACAGCTGTGGTCCCACTCTGTCCGTAGGGTAGAATGTATCTAGTCACAGCTGTGGTCAATTTGTAATTCTGTTATTCCTAGTTGCTATTTATTTTTCAGTTTTATATTGTTTGTTATGTGTTAGCAGTTATGATGTAAACACCAAGGGCAGATATGTCCTTTCATGTAACTAG